ATCAGTGTGACCCGACCTGCCCCGTTTAATAAATAGGTAAATGCGATCCGACCCGTTTATTAAACGGGTTATCCGACCCGACCCATATAACCCGAATAACCCATTTATCAAATCTCACTTCAATGTCATGGATACTATATCCAACCATTATCTGACAAACTAAAAGACGTTCAAATGGTTTGAATCAGAAGACCACTGCCTCCTTTTTAAGTACCTGACAATTCACACACCAAATGAAGAATAATGTACTTTTTTTTTTGGGGGTAATACATGTACCAAGATGCAAACTGACATTTTGCATCACTCCTCATCAAGTATCCATTGTTTAAGTCATATATAAGCCAGCAAAAAGAACTAAAACTTTAAGTCACAAGCACACCAAAATATCTCACTTTAGAGATACCAAGTAAATAGTTGTCTTGGTTTATCAAATAATATTCTAGGTCTTCAGGTTTTTATGCCAAAAGTTATGACAGCAACAGAAAATTAACAAAAGAAAGGAATGGAAAAAATATATGCGAGCCCTAATAAGCACTCCTCTCTCAATCAAGGTCTACATGGATCAAAAAGCATATACATTACTTTAAACGAAAGAACACTGAATTCAATCAGAGATTCAAGGAAACTACTTGGAGACGTTTGAGAGAAAAACAGCAGCTGCTAGGCACTTCATAAAAAAACGAGGAATAAAACAACATCCCTCCCTCGTTCTCATAATAACTGAACAAATCTCTTAAGTATAAATGGCAATTTGCTAGTAAATGACCAACTCTGCCAAGGGAAAAAGGGAAATAATATTACTTTTTTACAATTTTGAATTGGAAAACAACGGACAGAGTGAGGAAGGCCTAGGGTTGACATTACATTCAAGTGAATCAACTAAACAATGCAAACTAGACATGACCAGATAATCACAAAAATGAGTAAAAAAAAATCTTATTTGCACAACAAATAATATTCTAGGTCAAGTACAAATTGTTATCAATTGCCAAAATAGAACAGATACCAAAATGCAAGTCAATATTTGCACAACTCCTATAAGATTCAATTTCAAGTTTACCAATTCTTCATCAAACCAGAAATGGCATAGCAAAAGCTACTTTTCAGCAACAATAATGCCGATTTGACCTTGAAAGCAAATGCTATCACTCCTGTCCAAGGAAACATATTAAAACAATCAAATTAAGAGCTTTACTTACAAATAAATCAAACCATAAAAACTTTATATATTTGATTATTCAAGTAATCGAAGTTTATACTAAGCCAATGAGACTTCATAGTATAAGAGATTCATACTTGTGTTGGCATAGATTCTCCAACATCTAATTGCATGATATCCTCGGAAAGCTCATCTAATTTTGGTTGCATGTCATCTATCATTAATAAAAAAAATAAAAAAACCAATAAGCAAATTCATAACATGTGTTCTAATGCAAAAAAATGTAAAAATTATAACATTAGTAATTGTCTACCATTGATATCATATAACCAATCATGCGTGCAAATTAAAGCCTCCACTGTTAGGCTTAAGAGTGCTACGGTTAGGGGTGGCAATTTATGACCCGACCCATCAACCCGACCCGTTTATAATGGGTATGAGTTGAATTACATGGGTTGGGTCATAAACGGGTCAACCTAAATTTACCCATTTGTTAAACAGGTCAATTCGGGTTTACTCGACTGACCCGTATAACACAAACACCGACTCGAATAAGAACCATCAACCCTTGGTCTCTCATAAACAAGCTGTAGAGAAAAAAAAGAAGAGAAGCCCTAGATTTCCCATTACGAAGTTCAAAGCGGCGAGTGGCTGCAAATGGCGAGCGGAGAGAGGTGACGAGCGTCCGGGAGTGGCGACGAGAGGCAAGCGATGACCGACGACGGTGAGCGCTTGAACTTTGCTGTAAGTTTTCATTTGACTTTCTCTTTTTCTTACCTCTATCCTTTTATTTTTTTGTCTCTAAGTTTTACCCGCAATTCTCTAGTTAAAGATGCATCAAATTCTCATTCTTGCGTCAAATTTCTATTAAAGTCTGAATCATTATCGGTTTTGATTGATGATTAAACTTTGATTTTTGTGATGAATGATAAATGTTTGTGTAGATTTGGTTGTTCTTTACGGTGAGAGCAGTGTGCCTCTCTGCCATTGAGTATATACAAATTGATGTCTTATTAATCTTGGCATTCTATTATTGTTCAAATCTTTGTGTTTTTAGCTTATCAATCTAACTTACATTAGCTTATTATTGCAGACAAAAATGTTCTTTTTTTATTCCCTCGTGTCTTAAACTTATGCAGTTTTGTATTTTTTTCACAGTTGGAGTTAAATCCTACCAATAATCCTATAGAGAATGGTTTAGAAGTGGGTTCATCTAATGAAGAAGAAGTAGAAGAAATATCTAATTCTATTCAAAAAACGTATGGGGATAACTGACAAAAAGAGAAAAAGAAGATTAGCATCTAAAGCTTGGAAAATGTTTGATCTTGTTACGATCGAGCCGGGAGGGAAACAATTATTCAGTATGTAAGAAGTGTGGAATCCAATACATCGCTGAAGGGAATGGGACGAAAAACATGTTAAGACACATGAAAAATTGTAAGAAAGCTACTAGAAAGGATATTGAGGATTTATCTAACTCAAAAGATTCTACGATGAGTTCTTCGAGATTTAATTTTGACCCGGATAAGTTTAGAGAGCTCTTAGTCTCGGCCATCATTATGCACGATTTGCCATTTTAATTTGTTGAGTATGAAGGTATTCGAACAATCTTCTCATATCTTTGTGAGGATCTAAAACACATATCAAGAAATACGGTTAAAGCCGATGTTCTTAAAATCTACGGAAGAGAGAAAAATAGGCTAAAATAAGCTTTTGAATCGATTCTGGGTAGAATTAACTTGACTTCCGATTTGTGGACATAAATAGCCACCGACGGATATATTTGTCTCACGGCACACTACATTGATCATGAGTGGAAATTACAAAATCGGGTTCTTAACTTTTCTTATATGCCACCTCCTTGTTCTGGTGTTGTTATTTATGAGAAGATCTATAAGTTGTTAGTTGATTGGAAAATTGAAAAGAAATTATTTTCTTTCACTCTTGAATGCCTCCGCAAATGATGTTTTTGTTGATTTATTGAAAAAACAAATTAATTTGAAAGAAGCACTTCTTGGGAAGGGAGAATTTTTTCATATTAGATGTTGTATTCATATCCTTAACTTGATTGTCCAAGACGGTTTAAAAGTTGATAAAATTCGAGAAAGCGTCAAGTATATAAAAGGCTCTCACATTAGAAAACAAAATTTTTGAGAATGTGTCTCTCATGAATCTTTGGAAGTGAAGAAGAGTTTAAAGCAAGATGTTCCAACAAGATGGAATGCTACTTTTCTAATGATTGAGAGTGCTTTATACTATCGTTGTGCATTTATACACATGCAATAGAGTGATTCAAACTACTCAAGACTTTGTCCATCTCAAGAAGAATGGGATAAGGCCGAGAAGGTTAAGAGGTTATTAGCCACTTTCTATAACGTCACTTGTCTTTTCTCCGGTACAAATTATCCAACGGCTAATCTCTACTTTCTTCAAGTATTTATTGTGCAACGTACTTTAAAGAGTGGGATGAAAGATAATGATGAATATGTTAAGTTAATAGCAACTAAATTGTACAAGAAATTTGAAAAATATTGGAGTGAGTATAATGTTCTATTTGCTATTGCCTGCATCTTGGATCCCCGATACAAAATACAATTTGTAGAGTTTTGCTATTATGCGCTATATGGATACAATTCTACGGAGCTTAAGAATGTGAAAGACAAGCATTTCTCTCTCTTTAATGAGTACTCGAGCAATATAGATGGTGATAGAAGAAGAAACTTGGAGAAATCAAGCAAGGATGGACCTTCTCGTGTGTATGATGACACATTTGATCAAAGATTATATTGATATCTTGAGGGTAATTTTTTTCTCAAGTAATTAGTATATCTCTTAGTTTTTATTATTTTTGTGCAATTTGCATCCTCCATTTGAATATAAAATTCTAATAGATTTTGTAGTCTAACTCAGTAAGTGTCTCGCTTAGTCAATTGTATTTACATTATTACAGTTTGCAATAACTTTTACCGTTTTACACAACAAGCTTCATAGTTGAAAGCACTTTGTTATAACTTTTGGTCGAATTAAAGGAGGGGGGGATTATTTCTTTGATGATAGAACCACAGAAATGTATTCTAGATTTCTTTTGTTTTTCTAGACTTCACGTTTTCCTGCCATTCTTTTGTTTTAAATCTAGGACGTTGGATTTCAGTATTTCAAAAAATGATGATGTCTGAGTTTGGAATAACACTGATTTGCTCATTATCGGTGTGTAGTTGTTTTTAAAGAAGGACTTGATTACAAGTCTGCAGATTACAAGTCTACACAATGACTTTAGGATTTGATTGTGACAAATTTTGTCCATACGAAATTGACTTCAATTCACAAATGACAGGAAAACGTGAAGTCTAGAAAAACAAAAGAAATCTAGAATACATTTCTGTGCTTCTATCATCAAAGAAATAATCCTCCCCTCCTTTAATTCGACCAAAAGTTTTAACAAAGTACTTTCAACTATGAAGCTTGTTGTGTAAAACGGTAAAAGCTATTGCAAACTGTAATAATGTAAATGCAATTGACTAAGCGAGACACTTACTGAGTTAGACTACAAAATCTATTAGAATTTTATATTCAAATGGAGGATGCAAATTGTAATATTACATGCAAAAATAATAAAAACTAAGAGATATACTAATTACTTGAGAAAAAAATTACCCTCAAGATATCAATATAATCTTTGATCAAATGTGTCATCATACACACGAGAAGTTCCATCATTGCTTGACTTCTCCAAGTTTCTTCTTCTATCACCATCTATATTGCTCGAGTACTCATTAAAGAGAGAGAAAAGCTTGTCTTTCATATTCTTAAGCTCCGTAGAATTGTATCCATATAGCGCATAATAGCAAAACTCAACAAATTGTATTTTGTATCGGGGATCCAAGATGCAGGCAATAGCAAGTAGAACATTGTACTCACTCTAATATTTTTCAAATTTCTTGTACGATTTAGTTGCTATTAACTTAACATATTCATCATTATCTTTCATCCCACTCTTTAAAGTACGTTGCACAATAAATACTTGAAGAAAGTAGAGATTAGCCGTTGGATAATTTGTACCGGAGAAAAGACAAGTGACGTTATAGAAAGTGGCTAATAACCTCTTAACCTTCTCGGCCTTATCCCATTCTTCTTGAGATGGACAAAGTCTTGAGTAGTTTAAATCACTCTATTGCATGTGTATAAATGCACAACGATAGTATAAAGCACTGTCAAGCATTAGAAAAGTAGCATTCCATCTTGTTGGAACATCTTGCTTTAAACTCTTCTTCACTTCCAAAGATTCATGAGAGACACATTCTCAAAAATTTTGTTTTCTAATGTGAGAGCCTTTTATATACATGACGCTTTCTCGAATTTTATCAATACATCCATGGACTTCTTTTAAACCGTCTTGGACAATCAAGTTAAGGATATGAATACAACATCTAATATGAAAAAATTCTCCCTTCCCAAGAAGTGCTTCTTTCAAATTAATTTGTTTTTTCAATAAATCAACAAAAACATCATTTGCGGAGGCATTCAAGAGTGAAAGAAAATGATTTCTTTTCAATTTTCCAATCAACTAACAACTTATAGATCTTCTCATAAATAGCAACACCAGAACAAGGAGGTGGCATATAAGAAAAGTTAAGAACCTGATTTTGTAATTTTCACTCATGATCAATGTAGTGTGCCGTGAGACAAATATATCCGTCGGTGGCTATTTATGTCCACAAATCGGAAGTCAAGTTAATTCTACCCAGAATCGATTCAAAAGCTTATTTTAGCCTATTTTTCTCTCTTCCGTAGATTTTAAGAACATCGGCTTTAATCGTATTTCTTGATATGTGTTTTAGATCCTCACAAAGATATGAGAAGATTGCTCGAATAACTTCATACTCAACAAATTGAAATGGCAAATCGTGCATAATGATGGCCGAGACTAAGAGCTCTCTAAACTTATCCGGGTCAAAATTAAATCTCGAAGAACTCATCATAGAATCTTTTGAGTTAGATAAATCCTCAATATCCTTTCTAGTAGCTTTCTTATAATTTTTCATGTGTCTTAACATGTTTTTCGTTCCATGATTCCCTTCAGCGATGTATTGGATTCCACACTTCTTACATACTGAATAATTGTTTCCCTCCCGGCTCGATCGTAACAAGATCAAACATTTTCCAAGCTTTAGATGCTAATCTTCTTTTTCTCTTTTTGTCAGTTATCCCCATACGTTTTTTTGAATAGAATTAGATATTTCTTCTACTTCTTCTTCATTAGATGAACCTACTTCTAAACCATTCTCTATAGGATTATTGGTAGGATTTAACTCCAACTGTGAAAAAAATACAAAACTGCATAAGTTTAAGACACGAGGGAATAAAAAAAGAACACTTTTGTCTGCAATAATAAGCTAATGTAAGTTAGATTGATAAGCTAAAAACACAAAGATTTGAACAATAATAGAATGCCAAGATTAATAAGACATCAATTTGTATATACTCAATGGTAGAGAGGCACACTGCTCTCACCGCAAAGAACAACCAAGTCTACACAAACATTTATCATTCATCACAAAAATCAAAGTTTAATCATCAATCAAAATCGATAATGATTCAAACTTTAATAGAAATTTGACGCAAGCATGAGAATTTGATGCATCTTTAACTAGAGAATTGCGGGTAAAACTTAGAGACAGAAAAATAAAAGGATAGAGGTAAGAAAAAGAGAAAGTCAAATGAAAACTTACAGCAAAGTTCAAGCGCTCACCGCTGCCGGTATCGTTGCCGCTCTCCACTCGCCGCTCACCACTGTTCTCCGCTCGCTGCCGCTCTCCCTGATTGCAGGGGGCATCTATGATTGCAGGGGGCATCAATCATTACTTGGAACAAGTCAGGAGCTATGTCCATCTCTCCCTGTTTGCAGGGGGCATCTATGATTGTGTTGTAGGTGACAACACATCTGGCTCACATCCAAACCCCTTCATCTTCTTGTACAACTCAAAGTTCCAACTTGGTATCGCCAACAATGCAGAAACCACGAAGAAGAGTGTTGAAGGAGTATACAACGGGTTTGCATCCTAACTCAGGCAATTTGTGGAGCAACTGAGCTGCTTCGACTACCCTCTTCTTCAGACATAGACCACGAATAATGCAATCGTAGGTAACAACAGAAGGCGTGATGCCATCATCAGCCATCTGTTGAAGCCACTTGGGAGTTCGGCCTACATCTCCTTTCCTGCAAAGACCATGCATTGTGGTGGTATACGAAAAGAGGTCAGGCTTTTGGCACATCCTTCGTTCTGTGGAGCAACTCAAGTGCCAGGCTTGCGTTCCCAGAACCACACAGACCCTTAATCAGAGTGTTGTAAGTGGCGGTACCGGGTTCACAACCCCAGTGAGGCATTTCATCGAACAGCTTCGCTGCGTCGTCGACCGTCTTCGGTTTGCGGAGACCACCGATAACGATGTTAAAGAACGGGACATCCATATTCACACCACGCTTCAGAGCTGACCCAAAGACGCTGAAACCGAGGTCGATGCGGTCCGTACGGGTGCGGGTGCCGATGAGGATTCCGTAGGTGAATGTGTCAGGGGTGATGCCATCGACCCGACTCACGGCGTCGCAGAGAGAGAGAGAGAGATGGGTAAGTGGGAGCGCTGCTTCATTCGGCCGATTGAAGTCAAGAGCAGGTTGAAGGAGTAAATGGGACTCTTGGGATCGGCATCCAACATTTTGATGGAAGAAATCGAGAGCCTCTCCGATGGTGAGACTCCCCAGACCGACATCGACCTTTCACTACATATTGTAATCTTGTGCTGAGAACGAGAGAGGAGGAGGAAGAAGGGATCTTCATCATCAGAAATTATTCGATATAGCCGAGCAAATGGGTCTCTCTGTAATTTGGTTCCTTGTGAGGGTTAAACATGTAAAATTCGTTATATGAGCTTTCTGATCATGACACGAGCAGTAGCCGTTGTGGTGAGTCCTTGTCGTCTTGTGTCAGGTACCTCTCAATTTTTTATACATTTTTTAATATTTCCCTCAATATCATTATAATCGCCAACTAACCTCCCAAATAATGACATGTTTAGACTGGGTATTTTTTTTTTTTTGCGATAATAACCCTTAATCCTTTAAATTAAAATAATGACATGTTTAGAAAAGTCCGCAGTTTTGACTTGAAAAGTACACGTCGAAACTCTTCAGCAATCGGAAATTAATCAAGGGTGACACTAGGGACACACTCCCAACCACATCTCCAACCACACCTCCTCTCTCATTTGCTACAGTGCACCGGGCCCGAGATGTGGTTGGGGGTGTGCGCCTATCATTTTCCATTAATCAATGGAGAAGCCCACCCAGGTAATTGTTGCATCCTTCGCTTTTCAGAGTCGTACTCGTTTACTTTCAATTTATTCGAAGTTTTATTTCTTCACCATCGGAAATTAATTACTCGTTTTTAGGGCACTTTACAAAATTTCAAATCAGATCTTTATTTACAACTAATGCATGTTGGATCTCCATTATTTTGCGTTTCATTTGTGTAGAGCTTAACTAACAATTAATGAAGCTGGATATATATGGAGGTAAAATAAAAATATCCTCGTCCTTCTCCAATTGCCAAAAGCCTTTTCCTTTGGACATCGTCTCATCTCCTTCTCTGGGTCACCAATTAATAAGAATTTATCAAGTATTCCAGTGTTTTATTATAGCCAATAAACTAAAACAACGGTTATTTCCAGAATCTATCAGTGTGCATACACTTAACACTAGCACACTTCACAGGCCGAAGACTGCATTGAGACTTGAGAGATGAAGAAAGGGTGATAAAACAGTAGAAACAAGTACAGACGAGAAATGACCAAAATCATAAGCTCTCGCAACATCATCGCCTCATCATATACTGTGTTTTGCATAATTTAACTCGTCCACGAAACATATTGAGAACTAAAATTCAACAAGGATTCATCGTTCTATGCATCTTTTCTACATCAACAAATCTTCCATCCTGTCGCAATCCAACTAATACAGTATTATAGTTCTCAGTCATGTGCTTCACCCTTCCACCTGGCATCTCAGTGAAAATCTTCATTTATACTTTGATATTTGAGGTATCTATCCACTGATCAAAGTGTTGTAACTATGAGGATTAAGCTTCAAACCCCGAGCAAGCATGGAACTAACGGCCATCAATGACTCTTCAAATCGACCTTCTTGGCAATATCCATCCAATACAGCATGGGACGAGATTATGTTAGGTTGTTGTTTACGTAATTCATCAGTCATCCCGTGTTTGTATATATAATTCATCAGTAAGTTGACTGTCGCAACATCTGGTGAAATATCATGATGAAGCATCTCTTGAAAGACTCTGATGGCTTCCTTCCAATTATCAAGAAGACAATAGCCGTGGATAACGGTAGTATATGTGATAACATCCGGTACAATGCCCGCACCAACCATTTCTTGGAGTAACTCGCGAGCTCTACCCATTTCGCCATGCTTGCAAAGGGTATCTATGATTGTGTTGTAGGCGACTATATCTGGCTGACAACCAAACCTTTTCATCTTTTGATGCAACTCAAGTGCCATCTTTGTATTCCCAGCAACGCACAACCCATGAATAAGAGTGCTGAAAGAGTAAACGTCGGGCATGCATCCCAGCTCAGGCATTTTCTCGAGCAACTGAGCTGCTTCGCGCACCCTCTTCTTCGCACAGAGACCGTGAATAATGCAATTGTATGTCACCGCAGTCGGTGAAATCCCATCATCAGTCATTTGCTGAAGCAAATCGCGAGTTCGGTCCACATCTCCTTTCTTGCAAAGGCCTCGTATTACAGTGGTATACGTAATAAGGTTGGGCTTGCATGCGCCTCCTGGCGCCGCTTTCCTCATTTTGTGGAGCAAGTCAAGTGCCGAGCTCATATTCCCCGTGTCACACAAACCCTTGATCAGGGTGCTGTACGTGACGGTACCGGGTTCACAGCCCCACTGAGGCATTTCATCGAACAGTTTGACTGCGTCATCAACCCTCCTCGCTTCGCAGAGGCCATTGATAAGTATGTTAAAGAACGGGACATTGACGCTCCGCCCACGCTTCAGAATTGATCCGAAGACGCTGAAGCTGAGATCAACACGGTTCATGCGAGAGCAGACGTCGATCAGGATGCCGTAGGTGAAGGTGTCGGGAGAGATGCTGGCGACCCGACGCATGGTGTCGAAGAGAGAGATGGGTACATGCAAGTGCCGCTTCATTCGCTTTATTGAAATGAAGAGGAGGTTGAAGGAATAAATGGGCGGCTTGGGGTCGGCCTCCAACATTTGATGGAAGAGATTCAAAGCCTCTTTGATGTCGAGGTTCCCCGATCGACATCGATCTCTCACTGTATCTTGCAATTTTCTACTGAGAGCGAGAGAGGAGGAGGAGGAGGAGGAGGAGGAGGAGGAGGGGATCTTCATAAAAAAGTATTCAAATTTGGCGCGTTCTGGAGGAGCGGAGAAGTATAAGAGGTTATTTAAGTAGTGGTCCCTCGCATCTCCAATAATTTTATATTAGTCCCTCAGATATTTGAACTCACTCGTTAGCTAAGGGGTCATGCAAATTTGGTCACTCAGAAACTAGAATACTCCCCTAGTACTTCTTCCGAGTCATTTGCCTCAGCTAATGTTTTCTTTTAGGGTTACTTGCAGCTTGACACACTAAAGTTTACATCTTTTTTAACTCTGATACCCCCAATATGTTTTTCGACAATTTGATACCTCAAGGTTTACATCTTCTTTAACTTCGATACACTACTATCTTTTCTGACACTTTGAAACCCAAAATTTGCGTAATTTTTAAGTTTAATACCTAAAGTTTCCATATTATTAGCTTTGATACCTTAAAACTAAACACATTTTTTAACTTTGATACTCCAAATACGGGGCATCAACATGTCAAAAATAAAACCCTGATATGTACTGTCGATCCGATTCATGGCGTTGAAGAGAGAGAGATGGGTAAATGGAGGTGCTGCTTAATTCGCTTGATCGAAGTGCAAAGGAGGTTGAAGGAGTAAAAATGAGGTTTGAGATCAGCATCCAACATTTGATGGAAGAGAGATGGCGCACGAGAGTAGGGAGAAGAAGCAGCAGGCACGATTCCATATATTAATAAGACCAAGGCTATTACGAATAGGACTCAACGAGGGTAAACAAGTCGAACATTAGTTAGTTAGGGGCATATGTGCTACTGCTAACATAATCATTGGCGGATCTACACAGTGTCCAGAGGTATCACGAGACACCACTGGACTATCTATCTTTAAAGGCATATTTATTCATTTTTTACTTGTATTTACTATTTAGAACACTACCGATGAAGATAAATTTATGAAATTATTAATATAGATCCATATACAACCGTGATAAGTTATATGCGGACACCACTGAGACAAAAATTCTAGCTTCATTACTGAATAAAATAGTTGACGGACCATAAATGTAAAAATTCTTAGTCGCACCATGCAACAAGGGATAAATATGCTATTAACCCAAAAAAAAAATTGTTACCTAAAAACTTAATTAATCACCTTAACCTAAGCTGGGGTTGCTTATTTCATTAGCAAATAGTGCCTCATTAGTGGAAATCTAGGTCCAATTTGAATTAACGTTGCAAGTAACCAAGGGTGCATAAGACAAGGCAGGGCTTAAAGGTACTACTGGGCTTAGCTACGTCTAAAATTGCCCCACTTCAAGATTTGGCCGACGGATCGCAGCCCAAAAAATAGTGTTGCTCGCATCTCAATCTCAAAACTCTCGAGTACAGAACTCGTCAGATGCAAGCAAGGAAACCCACATCAAGCAGGACAAAACAAAAGCACGGATGCTGCAACCAGCCGGCCAATCAAAAGCACCAATATTAATTCACTCCAGCTAACGAGCGGCAAGAAAATAATGTTGCTCATATCTCAATCTCATATCTCTAATAGAACTACAGAACTTGCCGGATGCAGGGAAATCCACAACAAGCAAAGCAATTAAAACAAAAGCACATACATTGTAACCAGCCGGCCAATCAAAAGGCCGAACAGTACTCCAACAGACGGAGAATGATGCCTCATTATACTAAAATCATACAGTATCAGACTGAGCAAACAATCGCCTTGCTACTCGATAAGACGCTATAAATATCCAAACAAGAAAGCAAGTAAGCAAACAACAGCGAGAGAGGAAGATAAAGAAACGGCTTCTCCTGTAATGAGAATGATGATGATTATGATCGTGCTCGTGTTTGCTGAAGGAATCTCTGGGTATGAAACAACATGTGGAGGAGTTACTGCAGACGGTTTCGAATGCAACCTAGGAGTTCCCCAACATGACTGTATTTATTGCTCGAATGAGGCGACGAGCGATCTGAGATCGAAATGTGGGAGTGACGGAGGAGTTTCTGTTTGGCCGTGGTGCACTGTCAGGCTTGCTGCGCGCTAGGCTTAAAATTTTTAACTTGTTCAACTATCGCTTTGTCCTTTTGATCTTATTTCTTTGTTGTTGCTTTGGCTTTGCTTTTGAGATCATGTTTGTGCGCCTTCATGTAGTAATGAACGAACTTTGGGTTTGAATTTGATTCTAGTTATGTTTTCTGAAGGGTTAATTCCACATAGAGCCTGTCAGTGTCGCTCTTTATAGACTGTACCTCCATAGTTCCATTTTGGCGGATAAACCCTTTGGTGAATTGTTTTTTGGACCCCTTTACCCTGTGCGAAATTTCGGCAGATAAATGAAATTTGAGTTTCAATCTGGTTTGGTATATGTTATGAAAGTGTTCGGCTCCAAATCTATATTATTGGCAGATTTACCTTCTAAATCTGGATATTTGCTAATGTACTCCTACATTCTTTGACATCAACCCATAGAATCCCCCAAAAACCTCATAAACATTCAAAATCTAAAACGTGCCAACAGAAACATCCCTCTCTTTATCTCCATTCGTCTCCTCCTCCTTCCTCTTCGTCCTCTTGTTCAACTCAAAGCCCTATACCCACTTCCTCTATGTCCTTGATTACCTCATCAGCAGCCACGGCTAGAAATTTGATTCACTTGTAGCTGAGAAAGAGATGTCCGTTGGAAACCGAGTAGTGATAAATATACTACAAAGTTATACAACTCTTGTACTGTTACATGAAAATAGGCCAGACCCTTTCTGTAAATTGCAAAGAAAGATTTGAAGGAATTTCAGCATCAGCAGCAGAATCAGGAAAAACAGCCAGGGGTCGACCGGTCCGGTCCGACCGGATTCGGCACTAAGAGGTCGGTCGACCGGCCGGTCGACCGAACGGCTCTCTGCGCATGTCTTATCCGGGGTTCTGCTGGAGTGTGGTCGGTCGACCGGTCTCGTCGACCGGAATTGATCGGCGTCGACCGACCCGGTCGACCGACGAAGCGCCGGTTTCAGTTGGTGCAGGTTCCTAAGACCCCCGTTCTCGCCTTCGGCGCAGTTGTATAAATACCCTAAACTCGTTTTGGGTTAGAGTTTGGCGCGATTTGAGCGGCGAGCCAAAGGAGATTGAGGCTTCTATTGTTGGAGTCCCTATTTGAGAGATCTTTGGTCTTATTTGAGGTTTTGGGGAGATTTGTAACCCTAAGCTTGTAGCTCCCCTTTGATTTGATAGTAAAGCTTCCCTCTCCTTGCCGCGCTGTGACTGGCAATTGCCGAACACCGATATCGTGCTTGTGTATGTGTGCTTGCATTGGTTTGTGTCTACTATTGTCTTGTGTGTGCCTTCGATTTGTCAATTTAGGGCTTCCGCGGCGCACAACAAAATTGTGTACGAGTTTTTGTGGATTCCACTTCTTTGGTTCTAGTATTACAACTTACAAGAGTAGTACAATTCTTATAGTGTACTTGTCATTTTCCTTACCCTACAAGAAGAGAAGAGGAGATGAGGAAGAAATAGATGGAAGAAGAAATTAGGGAGAAGAAGAGGAGAAAGAAAGTTTTTATTTTTTTAGTTATGAATATAGTTACGACTAATTAACTAGGGTATGTTTGTCATCATTACTTACTTTTTATAAATGTAGCACGACTTTAGGGAATACACTATATTACCTTACATTTTTTTGTCTTTTTTTATTTTTATTTTTATTTATTTATTTATTTATTTATTTTTTTTTTTTTGGGGGGGGGGGCAATTAAATTTAAACCTAAGAAAGAGGTAACATGTCAAAGTAGTCCTCTCTATCCCAGAAAAAAAACGCATTTTGGGCCTACATAAATCCCATGTCTACCATATTTGCTGATTTACCATTCAAATATGCAAATATCTATTTTATCCTACGAAATTTAAAGGTTTTCAACAAGAGAGGTATAAATATTACTATGGAAGAATCTAGGGGTAAATTAGGAGATGTTGATGGCTGATATCAAACAGTCAATGAGATTGAAGTGATATGGTTGACGGAAGTACTCTAACTCTCTAAATATTTTGTTCTAAGTCAAATATGCAAATATCTATTTTATCCTACGAAATTTAAAGGTTTTCAACAAGAGAGGTATAAATATTACTATGGAAGAATCTAGGGGTAAATTAGGAGATGTTGATGGCTGATATCAAACAGTCAATGAGATTGAAGTGATATGGTTGACGGAAGTACTCTAACTCTCTAAATATTTTGTTCTAAG